GTCCTCCGTAAACACACATTAAAAGGATATAGTTACAGTGAAATTCATCGCCACAGTTTATTTCCTGCCTAATGGGATGTATGTAAACATAAGCACTGCCGCTTTCACAAGAGTTCATAAGTTGTTTCCGGCAGATAGCTCTAATGTGTAGCTTTGATACTGATGTTATTTCTTAGGGCAAAGAAGATTTACAAATATTATTAATAGATTAAACTGTAATTGTTTATTTTGAGTGGTTGAATTATTTCAAATGTAATTAATAGCCAGCATACATGCCCTGATACGATTTGATGGATCTGCTCATGGTGCCTGTTGGGACGGTGGCATTAACCCAGCACTTAGTCGTCCCACAAGAGCCTATCACTCATTCAGTCATAGAAAAACTAACAAAGTGACGCTCCGAGCCCATCTCTCCGTCCTGGAGAAGATAGTAACTCCACAGCGACTGACAGTGTTTACCACGGGCTCTGACAGAGTGTTAGGAGAAGAAAACGGCTGCTTGGGGAAATGCTCTGTTAAGATAACACTATCAACATCGCGTGGTATGTGTGAGCCATTACAGGAGTTTGAAATTGTAAGTGATGGCAGAAGTGCGCCAAGAACACTGTCTACAAATTGGTCATTTAAGAAATATTTGCTTCAGCTTTCAATATTTGTCTTTTGAATTTTTGTTGTTGTTGATTTTATTAAGTTTTTCCTAAAAAATTAAACATGGTGATAATCTTGGATGAGTGTATAGGGATACAGTGCGCTGCAGTGATGACATCATTTTGTAGAAAGTAGCATCACCCTAGTTCCCTTGATTAAAAAGCACAGAGGATTTTGTAATTGCTCTGGGACAAACAAATGTTAATGATTTGTTACATGTTTTTGTTTATCATGATAATCTTCACAAATGAAAATAACTTTTATGAAATTTGAATCCTCAATACAATTTCTGGAGGTAAAAAGCTAAACGTAGGATTTAAACGAACTACACCTTGGTCACATGACTTCAACGTCATCATCACTAAACTTTCAACAACTCTCCTTTTCTCTGAAAGTTTGAATAGTTTGCAAGTGTGCGATTAATAACACAGTGAAAGCGAACTAGTGAGTAGATGAGTTTACCTGTTCGGCTGATGATGTTTAATGTTCCTGACAACCTCCGTAGTCCTATTTAGCCACTTGTTGGCAACCGTAGTAAAAAAAAGCTTTAAAAAAAAAAAGGGGCATTACTGATGTATTTTATGTTTTTGAATAAAACATGAAAATATTGTGAGGTTGTTAACCACAGACCTTATTTCAAGCATTTAACCAAAAACCCATTAACTTTAGGACGATGGAACCCGAAGTGCTAAAATGCTAATACTTTTTTATTTTATTTTATTATTTTAGCTTTTGCTCTACAAAAATACATTATCCATTCAGCACTCCATTATGTAAAGGCTAAGCATAGAGGAAGTGGAATGTTTATTTAACTACTTGATAAGTTCTTGAACAAAGGGTGTCATTTGTGAAATGTCTTCTTTTCCTCAGGAGTGAAGATTTTCTTAACTTTCTGATCAGCCTGAAACAGCAGTGCTGTTACTTGACAGAAACCTTACAGGATGTCATCAGCAGGTTCCCACGTAGCCCCTCTGAGGTTCGTTGTGTACTGTGTCTGCGTCCTTTGTAAAACACGACTGTCTTGTGTAGCCAGACTTTTGATTTGTGGCAGTCTGGAACACATTGCTATTTCAATGGTCCACTTTAGACATTCTACTAGTCTACCAATACACCGAGAGTTAGTTGACATAGTTACTAACTATAAGTAACTTTGTCAACTAACTCTCAGAGTATTGGTAGACTGTGAGGTTAGGTGTTAGGGTTTGGGTTAGTAAATTAAGTTGACGTAGTTGCAAAGTTACTTATAGTCAGTAAAATGTCAGTTGGGGACCATCAAAATAGTGTTAGAAGATATTGGGTGGATCTGAAATAATAGAATTCAATTAATGGTACATGGTTGTACAAAAAACACTGTAAAAATATAGACTTGGTCAGACTCCAGAAAAGATGAGCTTGTGTGTGTGTTCCTTTGTGAAAAAAATAGTTTAAACAACATGAGGGATGGTTAAAATGTTATTTAAACCAAATAATGTACTAAAAGGTGTGACTCAATTGGACTGGCCAAATTTTTACTTGTAAATCTGTGATCCCGACAATCATGCAACCTTAATATTAAGCACACAATTTTTGCTGTTCAAAGTCACTTCACAAAATCTCTGATGGGCTATGTGCTAAATGTCTTTAAATGTGCATGGCACTTTTGAGAGTGACTGCCCTAAGTGCCTGAAATGATCCATGATTACAGCCTTGAATGGATGAGAACAAATGAAGTGTATTTGAAACCAAGTCATTTTCAGCTGAAGTAGTAGTAGGCAGACAGCTTATGTATCTCACGTTCAATGTCTGCTTGTTTGTGACTTCTTTGATAGGTTGTTCTCACATGTGATCCCAAGAAAGAGGCTCAAGCCCTTTGCACTGAGCTAGTAACTCAGACTGGAGACCTTCAGAAAGAGATATTCTGTCTTAAGACCCTGCTCAGCAAGGTCAGTCATGTCCACATTCCTTTGTCCTCTTCTTTCATCTTCTCTGATGCTTCCATTTACAATAGTTTTGTCTAGTAAAAATACTCTTGAGACCAACAGGGGCAGCCATTGCATCCCACTCCGATGTCGCCATAGTCTCTTTCCTGAGGATGAAGGGTAATCAGTTGATTAATTGAGAATCAACTAGGGATGTTATCCGCCAGGACTTTCCAGGGAATTTCCACAACTCCCATCAATCTCCACTGTGGAATTAGTTTAGTGAGAGCTGTTTGCAGCTGCTTGTTGCCCCTGTTGTTCTCAAAGCAGTCAGCATTTGATTGCGCCAGCATATCAAAAAAGAAATGCTTAAATACATCAGTTTCTCAGATTTCACTATACCATATGGATACTGATGTTGTGAAATAGTGGGTTTTGGGAGGGTTTTTCACTGAAATCTAGAGGTGATTGGTTTTGTTTAACTATAAACAATAATATTGGCATAACTTGTTAAAATCAAGTCCAGAATGATTTGTTCTCTTTTAACCCTTAATTTTCCTTTAGACGGACCACACAGAACATACCTTTCAGCCTCTTCAACCAAACTCTAATATTGGTCAGCGAGGAAAGGGCCGCAAGAGGTTTGCTGCCGTGCTTGGACTTGGAATGTTTGGAGCAGGGCTGCTATTTGTGTTGTCCCAATCCAGAAATTTGAACTGTTTTTGAGGTTATGAATTTCAGTGATGCATGCATTTTAAGTTGTTGCCCCAATATTTTATTAATCATCATATGTTCTGTGTTTACGTTAGGGGTATGTTACGATTCCCTTTTTTGTGGTGCTTTTCTAGACTGTTGTTCAAGTAAATCTGCCAAATGTTTTTTGGGTTTTACAGACAATTCACTTCAGCATATTAAAAGATTTCCCAACCCACACTGTCATCGTTCTCATTGCTTTGTATCATATTGTCAGTTTCTATTTCAGCAGAGCTGGAGGCTAATGTGTTTTGGAAATCCTGTTTTGATTTTGCTGGGTGGCCCAAAAAGGAAAGTCATTGCCAGTCGCTGTCTGTGGTGCTGAAATGTCATTATTCGGGTGCTTAGTGAGTCCAACCGGGGTGCAGGACCCCCTTACACACGATGAAAGCTGATTGCTTGGATCAATCTTTAGTAATATTGAACAAATACTTGTTACATGTTCATTGTTTGACAGTGAAATGTAATATGGCATGTGCATGCAGTTTCCTGAAAGCCCCATCTGAGTTACTTAAGACATGTCTATGAGCAGCAAAGAATGGCAGCTCTTTTATTAGGCAATTTCTTCAATTTCTTTTGGTTGCATGCATTGTATATAATGTGTGTAAGCAGGAGTTATGTCAAATAATATGCATGTAAAAGAACCACTTGACATCTGACTCCCTAGAAGAAGGTGATAGATGAACTCGTTCTTCAAGCTGTAACAATGTCAAGTATATGTTGTCGGGTATTATGAGCCTTGCTTACTTTTCTACAGAGTTTATGAAAATGTTTTTAAGCTATTATAAGTTCATCAGAGTACGCTAAATGTATAGTCCTACGCTAGCGGACAAAATAGCGTTCTTCTGAGAAGGTAACCATTGGACAATACCTCGACAAAACTTAAAAACTAATTGTTTGTCGGATTATTATAGTTTTACACGTGCAGAAAAATAATTGGTGTAGGCCTACTGTTTTAGACTAATAACTCAATAATGGAGGATAACTCAACCGATTGCGTCCAGACAGATTTAAGTTGGTTACCATGAGAGTCATTGAATAAGTTACGCACTGGTTATCCAATTTTGAAGGCGTATAATAAAAATAAATCAGAGCGGCCAGATTCATCAGATAATCTCTATATAGTCTATATAATCATATTATTATTATTTTTTAGGGATAATGATATTTGAAAAAACACTGAGAGGATTCAGCTTTCCTTATTGACTTGAAAAGGATGAAATTAGGCCAATTTAAATTCCATCATATTACCGATGACAAGTTTTCTCCACGCTCTCGCGACCGCGCCCTTTTCACGGGGATCACAAGAGAAGAATCCGGTTTTCCTAATAATCTTGGTTCCCATCAGTTGAAAGGACCTCACAATACAAGGAAGGAGGACAAATTAATTCTTTCACATAACTGGTGATCAAAGATAGAGGAAATTCTGTGCGACAATTGAGCAGTTCGTGAAAAGTTCAAAAGAATGTGATAATCCAATTTCAATGCACATCATCAAGAGCGGAACATGTTTGTTGAGAAGATAGGACGAGTGTGCTTTCAGTCAATTAAGCCTTATTCTCCGAGAAAGATGTTTTTCAAGGTTAAAAATTCTATAGGCCAATAAATGTAATAGGCATAATGCATAAAGACTGAGTGATCAATTAATTTAATATGAATAATACATAAAGAGATTGCCTGACAGGCCTAATAATAATGCACTATTTATTAAAGTGCTAGGATTTAGGAGGGTATGGATAGGCATTTCACGTTGGACCACATTCTACACTTTCGCTGCTTTGGAAATAAGCCAAAACCTGTGGCTGGTGTCAAGCTAGCCTGAACAGATACTTTCAGACATCTAATTTCTTCACTTCATTCCTGAGGCAGGAGTACCCACCCCTTGTGTAAGCAATTTAAACCTGATAGGAGATCATCAGCTATCTTCAGCCACTTCAGCCCCAGGACGAGCATCAGGCTGTGTGTGCAGCGCCACACATCACACACTTCACGATGCTTTGACGCTCAGCTCACTTGTGTCGCGTCACTCCACTGATTTTTGATCTGGGAGAGTAAATTAGCAATTTGCTCCGACCGCCTCAGCATTCGATGTTTCATTTGTTTGTTGTTAAACTGCATGCAAGCGCCTGAACGAATGAGTGTATCAATACAATTGTTATAATATGAACTTTTTGCCAAGTGGAATATGTTTTTATCTGTCCGTGGCAATTTGCTGGTTCACATCAAGGGTCGACGCATCGTGGTGGTGGGTACAGTTTTTGTTTTATTTTAAATATGTTTTAAGTAATACTTTCTCGTTAAGAGATGTAAATAGTTTTAGAGTAGGCTACGATGTGGTTAAAAATAATAATAATCTGAAAATGCACTGAAAAATTAAACTACGCGAAATTGTATTTTTTGAAATGAATGTGCCGAGTACGCAGTTGTGTGTTGAAACATGATGACTGTCTTTAAGAGATTCCCATCGCTCATTCCCTGTGCTTTCATCTTGTATGCAGGTACATGGGCACTCTTGGATCGCAAGTGATGTGCGACAACATCCCGGGGTTAATTAACAAACAACGCCAGTTGTGCCGCCAGCATCCCAAGGTGATGCAGGCTATAGGAGCTGGAATTAAAAACTGGATTGGAGAATGTCAGCACCAGTTCAGGAACCACCGATGGAATTGCAATACCATGGCGCGCGAGCACAATCTTTTTGGGAGGCTTTTACATCGAAGTGAGTAAGGCACAAGTGTATTGTTTCAAGTGTATACTAAGGGCTGTACATACAGTGTGTTCTCTGCACTCAGTGAAATTCCTTATCTGATATCAGATCCTATTACAGAAAGTAAAACTTGATGAACTGGGTGTGCTTTTGACCCTTCTTTGCTCATCTGTGTGTGCAGCACAGTGTGTTTGATTTTTATCAGATTTCTTAGATAAAAAGATAGTAGGCTAGCCTATATGGGCTAATGAGACAGGATCAAAGGATGTGTGAGATTATTATGAAAGGAGAGGGGAAAAAAAAACAAGTTTAAAACATGTGGCAAGTTCTTAGTAATGTAGCCTAATCTATTAATTTTAGTTTACATAAAAAAACAGTTATTCCATTTTCTACAAAACTGTGTCGATTTATTGACTCTTGAAAACAAAATGTTGTTGACAGCTAAATTTTATTCAAGTTGGTTATACCACACTGACTTTGTCTGCCAAATAATTTTTAAAGAAATAATAAGATATTTTCTTTTATTTATTTATTCATTTATTTATTTTTTATTTAATTTTGTTGTTGCCTGTTTCCAGACAGTTACACCACCTGGTAAATCTGACACATGGTCTGTGACTTTAAGCCCCATAAGAAATATCACAATTATTTACACTAAAAAATGCTGGGCTGTTTCAACCAATGTTTCAAACCCAAATATTGATTTAAATTTTGTAATTAATTTTGTTAACCCAACGGTTGGGCTTGTCCATATTTGACCCCAAACATGTGTTGAAACAACCCCGAATTTTTACATTTTTAAGTGTAAATTCATAAATCTCAAACATGTTTATAATAGAAAATATGTATTCTTGTCATTGTATGCATTGCATTTTAGGCTATATATTTAAATAACTGAATCCAGATCTGAAAAAGTCATGTCATTGACCCATAAACAACACAAGTTATGTGATCATCTCAAGATGTCTAGATGTAATTTGAATCGATAACTCACAAAAGTCTCACTTAGCATGCAAGTGTATCCTTTACTTTTCATTGTGTTCAGGATTTATGTGAGTTTAGGGAACAAAAGCTGGATTATTGTGTCTGGTGAGTTCATTCAGAACTGCTCGGCAGCTTGATGCTGTAACTATAGGTGTAATTGCCAGTTTTGTGACTTTAGGTTTGCAACTGTAAGTGTCTCTGGCTCTATTTTCTCATCCCGCGTAAAATCATATTAATGGGAACATCCTCAAAGTAACTCTGTGTCCCAGGCCTCTAAGCTGCTCTGCACATTAAAGTTAGGTTAAACCTCTGACTTTAATCTTCTTGCTTTAAGGTATTCAGACCTCCCAGAAAGACTTCTCTGTGCAACTGTGAGAATCTACTTATTGTCAATGTCAGCTCACTAATTTAAAACAATTGCATGGCAGGCATTCTCTTTCAGTCTGACAAAGCTGCCGAACGGAAACATCTTTGGTATACATGTGAAAAGCTGCAGCTTATAACTTTTGTTCAGGCGGTCGCTTGTTACTGTTGTTCTTTCTTCCCTCTCTTACTGTTTCCCACCGTGATCTCCGTCACACATATGCCCTCACTTTTTCTCTCAGACATATATCTTTCTGAAGTAAACCTTAGATTTCTATAATGGATTATGAGATTAGTAGGTTTTCAGTTTAAAAATATATAAAGTCAGCATTTATTTTAGGAATCGACTTGACCTGTGAATGTAATGAGTAAACAGAAACGTATGAATTATGAGTATTCATTTATTATGATTTTTATTACCTTAATTATTATATATTTATAATACTTGTATAATGTAACATGCAAAATAAAATGAAAAATATAACATACATTTTAAATAATTATACGTCTGTGTATATATTAATACAAATTAGCCTATGCTAAAGTTAAGAAATTAACTTGTAAGTAAAAGTAAAGTAATTTAAATTAATTTTATATCAAATTAAATATGTATAATGTATTTTTTATGTCTATGTGTGTGTATATATTCTGTATAGATATACTCACACAAATGTAAGTTTTAATAATTACTCTTATATCTTAATTATAAAATTAAATTTGTTATATTTTTATAATTTTATAATAAATATATATATAATTGATATTAAAATAATTTGGTGTGTGTATACACTACACACAAAAACATTTTAATTTTAAATAATTACCAGCTCCTCTCTAATTTATGCAACATTTTTTATGCTCACTAAACGCTATTCCCCCTCTGTGTGTGTGTGTTCTTTTTTTAGGCAGTCGTGAGGCCGCCTTTGTCTATGCCATCTCCTCAGCAGGAATGGTCTACACCCTGGCTAGGGCGTGCAGTCAGGGTGAACTAGAAAACTGCTCCTGCGACCCCGGAAAAAAAGGCTCATCTCGTGATGCCAAGGGATCTTTCGACTGGGGTGGCTGCAGCGATCATGTTGACCATGCTATCAAGTTCACTCAGGTCTTCATTGACGCCAAGGAGAGGAAGGAGAGAGATGCACGAGCGCTCATGAACTTGCACAACAACCGTGCAGGGAGGAAGGTAACAAGGCCATGTTCTTGCAAACAGCTGTTGAGACACATATCGAGAAATGAAATCTTGACAAATAATAATCCGTGACCATATTGTCATGCAATCGGAGATGGAGCAGTCAGAGGATTACTACAGACACGGTCTTCTTTTTTATTTACAGGCAGTGAAGCGCTTTATGAACCTGGAGTGTAAGTGTCATGGTGTCAGTGGCTCATGCAATGTACGAACCTGCTGGTTAGCCATGGCAGACTTCAGGCAGACTGGTGACTATCTCCGCAAAAAGTACAACAATGCCATTCAGGTGGTGATGAACCAGTATGGAACAGGCTTCACCAGTGCTTACAGGATGTTTAAGAGGCCTACCAAAAATGACCTTGTCTACTTTGAAGACTCACCTGACTACTGTATATGGGACCACGAGTCTGGTAAGTGTGCTGGGGGGAAACCATAACCCTTAAAAAGATGGTTTCCCCAAAAAAGAATGATTCACTTTTCAATTTTTTGTTGTTGTTGGTCTTAACAGTGAAAGTCAGTGGGGTCCAAACCAACACTGAACCGCATTGACTTTCATTGTATGGACACATTTTTTTCTTCTTCAAATAACTGTCTTTTGTGCTGCATCAGAAAGAAAGTAATGTAAATAATAATAGAATTTTCATTTTTGGGGAACTATCCTTTTAATTATTTCCTCAAGAGGTGAATTAAGGTAATATATCAAATCTGTAGTGTTCCAACATGTTTTACTGTATAACCCATTGTTTGTGTCTCCACCCTGCAAGACTCCCACACTCTCTGCTCAAAATCAGCAAGGCATTAGTCTTTGCCCCCAAACACCGTTGTAATCAGAGGACGGGAGCTATTTAGCTGGTTATTACATACACAATAGTCATAACCCAATCCTGTAACCTGAATGCCGGTAAAGATTCCCTCCCTAAGGCAGAGGTTTATCTCTTTTTACTTTTCAGTGTGTGTGTGTGTGTACAAACTGAATAACACCAGGTGTACCTATGTGGGAAGCAGTAAGGGAGGGGGTGCCTGTCAGACTGCAGATGATCCCTGCTATCAGGTGACGCTGTGTTTAGACACATTACCACAGTTTTGTGGGCAGAACGGGAGCTGAAATTTAATCCCTACGCGCAAATGCTATAAATCACTGCCTTCCACGGCGGCACCTCTATATTTTCTGTCTAAAACTGGCAGGAATATTTAGAGAGGTAGGTCATGTCTCTTTTAAGTGCCCTGAGATGAAGGTTGAACCCACTTTAGGTATTTATTATTTATTGTATGTCAGTATAACTGCCCATTTATAAGCATATCAATTTGCATGATCATAAAAACGTGAAAAACAGTTAAAAGGCTAGTTTATCCAAAAATGTCGTTCCATACTTGTGTGACTTTTATTTTTTATTGTACCTCTTTCTTCTACAGAGTACAAAAAAGCACCAGACATTTTTTTTGTCAATACAATGGAAGTCAATGGGGTCCAAAATAACATTGGACCTCAGTTACTTTCAATGTATGGACAAGGGAAAAAAAACACTGAGACTGTGTCCGAAATCGCATACTCTAAATAGATGAATGAGTAATTACTTTGTGAACATTAAAAAAGTATAAATGTATGTATGTATGAATATAATCCAGACATACTACATCCGTCATGTTGTCATTGTCATGTGACTTTCGGAGTCAGTTGCGTTGTTTCACTGTCATTTAAAAATCCTCTCCCTTGGCTTAATGGAATAGTAAAGTAAAGTCCATCAGATGCTCACTTCAAAATCTTGCAGGAAGTAGTAGGTCATCCGGGTTCTTTTCACCTACTGTTTTTCGCCTATAAAGTAGGGAACGAGTACAGTATGTGAGTTCGGATGCAGCCTGAGATATTTTTCAGAATAAAATCATACAGGTTTAAAATGACACGATGATGTCAGAATTTTTGGATATTAAGATATAAATGTAATGTTTTTTTTTTTAATCTTGTCCATTTTTTTCTCATTAGCTTTGAAGGTACATTTAAAAAAATCATGACGACCATATTTTAGTGCTGACCTCTCTAGCATGGTGGTTTGTGAGAAACTCTCGGCAGGGCAGTCTGTTTGATGTCAGTTTTAGGAGACATAGACTATACCTCTACTGCATAAGTGTGAAATCAATTACTAGCTCTCACCATGGTCACACATGTTAAACTCATCTCTTGGCACCCCCTCATCTTAATTCAATAAGCAGATCCACGCTCAGGTAAAGGCTGGCCATGATGTAAACGATATCCGCCCAGCATACCAGCCTGATGAACTGCTGTGTGTGTGGGGGGGAGGGGGGGAGTGGCCGTGTCATGCCCAGACACATGCCTGCCTACTTGCAATTGAGTTCAATAGAGCAGCGGTGACATACCAATGCTGGTGCTACTGAAGAGGTTTGCAGTTCTGGCCTTCACTGTAGGAGTGTTCTCATCTTAAAACCTCGCACTAAACCAACTCTAAATTGGTTAAACCACATGAAAAATGGTTGTTTGTATAGTTCTGAGTGTTGATTGGCATTGAAGGGATCTTTATAAACAAAGGCTGTAGATTGTCACTCAGAGGGAGCATTAAAGCAAGGGTTTATACAAGGTCTTTAGCAATTTCTGTATCAGCAACAATCAGAGACGCGTCAGCCTCATAGAGGGCGGGGTTGTTGAGATTAGAGCCGTTGAAATGAGTACGTGATGAAGACCCAGAGCAATGCTTGATAGCTTCTATCATCAGTCCCTCATCTGACCAAGGACCAAGCGGTCATCCTTTTACATGGTGCCGACAAACCCAGCCTCTTCAAGACAGCGCTGTCTGGACACTATCAGACATCTGCCAGGCACTACACATGACTATTCAGTCGAGGTCTGCTTGCTTCAGGAATTTGTTCAAATATTCACTGCATTAATAGATTCTAGCAGTATAATGTATCAATATTAATGGATGAAAGTATGTGGATGGATGACTTCTTTTAATTGGTAGGTTTGTCTATTTTAGGCCAGTAGTAACAATTGTACCTGCCCTTCTAATATTTTCACTGGCCTTATCACAAAAGAATGATCAATTTGTATTTGTAGCAAAGCATTTTTATATTTAAAATATATATATATAATAATAAGATTATTATTATTGTTGCTGTACATATTGTTTGGAAAGCTAATTTGTATTTTTTTTTTTGAACCTTTATATATATATATATATATATATATTGCAGTTATGCTGTTTTGATATTTTTAATAACCTGTGATACTTTTTTCAGTTCTCTTTGATGAATAAAAAGTTACATTTATTTAAAATAGAAATCTTTTGTAACAATATACAATACCGTTCATAAGTTTGGGGTCAGCAATTCCGTTTTTATATTGTTAGGTTTTTTATTTTGAATAAATGCTGTTCTTTTTAACTTTTTATTTATCAAAGAATCCTGAAAAAAGTATCACAGGTTCTATTTCCAACATTGATAATGACTTGAGTATCAAATCGGCATATTAAAATGATTTCTGAAGGATCATGTGACACAGAAGACTGGAGTAATGATGCTGAAAATTTAGCTTTGCATCACAGAAATAGAGATTTCTTTCAAAAACATAAAAAAAATGTTATGTTTCAAAACTTTTGACCGGTACTGTATATATATATATATATATATACATACAGAATATTGGAAACATGGTTATTTTAGTGAGAAGCTATGCCTTGAACATTTTTGATGTAGTCATTTCATTTCTCTCATTAAAACCTATGATGTCTCATTTTATTTTTGTCTTATTGCAGGATCTGTGGGCACAGGTGGGCGAGTATGCAACCGTACGTCCCATGGGGCTGACAGCTGTGAGGTCATGTGTTGTGGGCGAGGTTATGACACATCACGCGTGAGCCGCACCACCAAGTGTGAGTGCAAGTTCCACTGGTGTTGTGCTGTTCACTGCAGGGACTGCGAAGAGGAGGTAGATGTGCATACCTGCAAAACCCAGTCATGACCACACCACTCCTGCACTTCAGTTACCTTCCAAACTAAAGATCCCACCTCAAACCTTTGACCTTGTACAGTGCTTTTCTCTGGCGAGTTAGATAAAAGTAGACCAGACATTTCAGCAATGCATACACAAAAGACCAGCAACTTAAAGGTACACTATGTAACTTTTGCATTTTGTGGAAGAACATTGTTTTGGTTGTGCTTTGGCTCTGCACGACTGCGGATGAATATGGTTCTTTCTCATAATTAAAAAAAAGAGAGAGATTATCCTACTGCTCATAAAACATTCACTACTAGAGTTATATAACCAGTGTAGATGGAAAGGATCTCAAGCTGAGTAGCTGAAGACATTACTGTAGCTATACCCATTAACAGACACGGTACTTCCTTGAAAATGAATCCAGCGCAGCGTTACAACAACCATAATGAAATGACCCTTCACAATATAATGTTTTACAATGAACTCTGTAAGAGCACTACATATGCCAATTTACCTGTTCAATAAAATACCTTACTAACCTGTTGAGGAATAAAAACGCTGTTGGGTGATTTTGACATTACATCGGGTGATTCACCAGAGGTTCGAGTTTTAGCTGCTCCATGTCAACCTTTCTCACTCATAGCAACAACTAACCTAGGCCACTCACACACAATACACACATCAAATAAGCTGGAGCAACTTTTTTCTATTTACAGATATGACGAGAGAGACATGCACGGGCGAGTGACGCATGTACGCAATTTCCTGCGAAAATCATCCCGCCCTGTCTAAAATATAAGCCGTTACAATAGGCTAGTGAATCAGGGTAAGACAAAATGAAAGAAGGATTGATGATTTACTGAATCGTTTAAATGTGTTAATTTTTTACAGTTACATAGTGTACCTTTAAAAAAACAATGCAGATTTGTTGTATCACAACTGGTTTTGAAGTTTGTTTTATCATCTTTACATGTTTTGTCTCCCCCCCCCCCATAATACAAATATTTATTACTGCTTTGTAGTATAAAAATGTTTATCTTTAATGTATTTCATATTTTGAAATGTAAATACAAACTCTATGTAATTTAAAATAAAACTTACATATATGTTACGTCACATAGTTGTCAAAAGTTTGTTGTCCTGTTTTGCAGTAAAAACCATAAACTATATTTGTTTTCTGACATTAAGTGTATATAAACAATTAATGACTAGATGGAGTAAAACACTTTTGAAAACACATTTTTGTGTCTGAAGGATATTCAGTCTGTATAAAGGCTAACAAGCTTTCCCCGTTATGACTCATTCATTTAGTGGCTCTAAATAAGACCCAGCTGATATGATATTATACATTATTGTGAAAGATGAATGACAGAAAACTGTGTCTTGACCAAAAAAAAGACCTCCAAAAGCCTCAGTGCTGACACCCTCATGACATCTTAAATAGATGGTCTCTCCCTAACCTAAAAGCAACAACATAAAAAGCATTTTATAAAAATAAAACTTTTTGTAAGTTGTCTTTTTGCACATATGCTTTATTCTCAAACTTTATAACTATATTGAATCAGTTGATTGAAACCTCAAAAAATGTTAGTGAATTCTGCCCTGATAATGTTTCTGTACATAAATGTGTGTATAATTTCCTAAAAGAGCATTAAAATATATAATTATCACATTGTATATTGTTGCACTTAAAAGGGAGTTTGATTATGTGTGCATATATAAAATGTTTGAAAAAATTACTTTTAAAGGTATGCTTTACAATATTGTGTTACATTTTCTCACCTGGGCTTGGCTTGCTTGCTTGTTTTTTTAATAACTAATGTTGTTTTTTGGCAAATGTAATGGCCCTTTCACACCAAAAGTGAGTAGAGGGCGCAGCTCTAACAAACCTTTCAGCTGAGGAATAGAACACAGGAGAAGAACGTTCATCACTCTTCAGCAAAAAAACAAAAAAAAAAACTAGTTTTTACACACACACACACTTCTTCTTCTTCTTGTTCGTCCATCAAAAAGTTGATGATGACCATGGCACGTTTGTCATTTTGTTGGGTTTTGATGAGTGCGCAGATGGCTAAAGAGGCCAATCCGAGCCCGGAATTCCCTGTGGCACACTGGACAGGTCAGGAAGGATGTAGAACTCTGAGGTGCAGCCACTTGTTCTTTCTTGGTAACTTTGCGCTGCTGCCTCTTCAAAATAGCACAGGAGCTTCTCCTGCTCTCACAGAGGATTGCACCGTCCTGGACTTTTCTACTCCAGGCAGATCGGTCCTGTGCTAGGGATTCCCAGCTTTTCAGGTCGAGTCCAAAACTCTTCAAGGAAACTTTAAGAGTGTCCTTGTAGCGCTTTTTGGGGCCACCTTGTGCTCGCTTGCCTTTTTTCAGCTCGCCAAATAAGACTTGTTTTGGAAGTCTCACGTTAGACATTCTAGTCACGTGACCAGTCCATCTAAGCTGTTCCTTCGCAAGCATGGTGTAGATGCTGGGGATATTTGCCTTGCTGAGGACTTCCGTGTCAGGAATTCTGTCTTGCAGTTTCTTGCAGAATTCTGTCAGCAGTTTCCTCAGACAGCTCAAGTGGATATGATTTAATTTTTTGGCATGGCGCTGGTAGACTGTCCAAGCTTTGCACCCATAAAGAAGAGTTGGCAAAACAACAGCCACACACACACACACACACACACACACGCACACACACAAATGTGTTGTTTATCTAAAGTAATTTGCTTAATGGTATGGTTGAATTGGATAATCGAACGTAAAAAGCAGACATTGGTTAATAAATTCTGATTACATGCCTAAAGTATATTTGTGTAATTTAACATAGGCTATTTAAATATTGCAGGTAGGTAGCGTAATATTCCTAGTTGAGTTTGCATTTCAGTTTTTATCCATTTTGAGGAATACTGAATCTGTTTTTGTGCAAGTGAGATGAGTAAATGTACACCCACATGTATTCTAGAACTAGTCAAGTCAAGTCATCTTCATTTATATAGTGTTTTAACAATGAAGATTGTTTCAAAGCAGCTTTACAGAGATAAACATACAATTTACTATAACAGAGATTGTTTTGGCTTTATATATTAATAACTATAATAATAATATTTTTTGTTGTAAATGTAAGGGTTTACTTTACTAGTTACTTGAAAAAAGTAAGCTGATTACATAACTCACATTACTTGTAATGTGTTACCCCAACACTGCATTTACCTAATGTAATAGTTTAGAGAAAATTTTATGTTCTATTCTGATTGGTATGGAATGCTCTGTATTTGTATTTGTGAACTTGATGATACATTTTATGGCAATACATTGTCAAGGATGTGAACGTTTTCCACTTTACTTTGGATAAAAAAAAATACATGTGCAATAGGCTACATGTGCGGCCTTGCACCATTTGAGGGCAGCAAAAGCAAATGCAGTCAAAGGCCATGCAAACACCTGACTTGTTGGATTGCATTATGGTTGCATCTGGGGCACATATTATATTTCATATCCATGCATCATATTTGTATTTGAGCTCAGGGCAGAGAGAAAACTTTCAAATTATAAAGACCCAAAACCTGCAACAGAACAGACATACATTTAATAAACTTCCTGCAAAGGTAGCTATTAATTAACATAAACTGACTTTTTGGGTTTTTTACAGACAATGCAACTGCAGTTCAATATTGTTACTTTATAGTGGATAAAAATGATAAACAAACAAAACAATTTAACAACATTCATTCATGTTTACGAAATAGCACTGATTACAATAAAACTCACATTGTGTATGTTGACGTTGTCATGTAGGCCTAACAAAACACAGCAACAGTTACTGATGGAAGTGACGAAATTATGAATTTGAGATGTTATCAATTTAATTCAAGCAATATCGTACACTCCCATGTGAGTTCGTGAATCGAGCAAAACTACTCGCGCTGCATGATTCGACTCATAAGATTCATTTCTGCGCGGCGAGAACTGTGAACGGAAATGAACTTAAAATGAAAATAAGTTTTGCTAAAAATGGAACAGGTGCTGAATAAGAAACAGTTCTCTGTTCCCCTCTCTATCCTTGACCTTCTCGTTTTCACGTCCGTGCGTCCCGCGTCATAGTAGCAGGAATACAGTCAAGGCGAGGCGGAGCAACGAGCGTGGCTTCATCCTCTCGCACACGCGCAACATAGAGACCACGCAAGCGCATGTCTGAACAGTTAGCTATCACCACAGTCGAAGAAGCAGTAACATAGTAAGTTAACAGTGAGAGAAACCGGTTAGTCACCCCCTCTGAGTGAACAAAATTATCACTGGCGCAGAGGTACTACATATTCAAGCTAAGTCGCAGCATGTTCACATTAAACGGATAGCATGTTATGTTATGAGTGATACTAAGACGTTATGTTTAAACTTTAGCGGCTAGCCGAAACTCTGGCATGCGAGTAGGTGTGGCGTGCACTAGAGGTTCGGTGGGTGTCCGCGTGCGTTACATTGTACACGATGTTCTGATGAATGTGGTGGACTTCTTTAGTGCAAAAATGTACGTTGCAGTATTATAACAACTGGTCAGTTTTGAAGTGGTCTGTGTGAGAAACTTGAGCAACTTTGGATTTGTGTGTATTAGTGTTGCATGGAAAGAATTCATGTCATGCAGTCAAGGGTTTGTGAAATCGTACGTAACCGTGTTAATTACACCTGTATTTCTTTTTCAGACTGTCAGCTCCCGCAATATTCTGTTTAGTTGTCATTAATTAGTCCACCACTACATACAAATTATGTAATTACATATGTTGAACAATGACAACCGAAAAAATTGTCATTCTGTTGGTCATAATAACATAGTTTATGTTCACATACTTAACAGAAATAAATATATTTTTTCTTTGTGTAATGGATGCCAGAAGTTCAGACAATCCCAAATTGTACTCTTATAAATGCCTTATAAAGTGTTTTATTTTTTTTTGTTCTAGGACTTTTGAAAACTGTCATTTGGTCGTGCATGTCACTGAGAGCCTGACGTTTCTCTTAAATGGCTGCCTCTGGCTCCTCCACCACTGAAGGATTTCACTATGAGACCAAGTATGTCATTCTTAGCTACCTCAGCCTGCTCCCACCACCAAGATCAAGAACCTCAGAGACAGCGGAGGGTAAGAGATCACATTCATAAATCATTTTGTACAAATAGCCTGCCTGGCAACTTAGGATCATAAGGAGTTTAAATTCGTCTCAAAACAATGACGCAACTTTCAGTAGTCTGTTTAAAGGCACGTTTAAAGGCTACTTAAATGTCCTAATTGAACTAAGGCTTAATCCTGGTTTAATCTAAGCCTTGTCTGTGAAACCGGGCCATATACTCTTTTATTAAGACACACAAAAAAGCACAAGATCACAAATATCACGTACATAACAGATGCTGCCTTCACATCGATGTCTGAAATGTTCTTACTTCCCAATTCTGAAGTTTGTTGTGTTCAAATGCCTTCAAGAATATAGGAGTCACCTCTTGGGGAAGTCTTATTAAAGTCTTACCAAAATGTATTGAAGATATTTAGTGAATGTCCAATGGAATTTGAATAAAGTGCCATTCAACCATATAAACATACCCTCCTCCCTATTGCATACACATTAATTGTGCCATCTAGATTCTGTTATTTCGGTAAAATATATGCTATTTTCTATGTTAAAAGTACATAAAATATGCATCAAATAGTTATTTATATATATACATGACTGTAATAGCAAGAGAAAGCAGTGTATGAATGTATGAAACTTTACAGTCTTTAAACGTTTTTATAAATTTTTCAGAAACTTCGGTATCAAAAAACGCTAATAGGTTTTCCAGTCGTAATTACTGCTGGAGAGGTTGTTCGCGTCCAATTTCTGACTAGGAAATTTGTATTTATGATAGCGTCACTGTTTCAGTTAAATAAGTATCATCCAGGTACTTGAAGTCCACTTATTGTTGAAATTTTATGTTTGAGCAAACTACTCATCATTTATGCACTATTTTGTAGTATAAGAATGCAAATTGGGATTCACCTTAGAACTTCCAAAAGGTCTTTATGCAGTTGAGTTTTCCTTCTACAGGCTGAAACTACCTACCCTAGGACTGTTCGTGCTATCCATAGAGCTGCTTTGCTAAGGATCTTGGTTTCTAATTCCGCCATTACAGTTTCAGTCGCTTGTAGGGTTTGTCCACAGTTACTGAGGTCACATTCCTCTTCCAGGAATCTCCATTTTGCCCTTGAACATGGGCTGTAACTCAAAGTGCTGTATACAGGGTGCTGTACTTAGTGTAATTTGATTGAAAAATGCCTCCAGGTATTGCAAGTAAGTAATGCATTAACAAATCCTTCAGAGTGCATGTGTCGTCTATACTTCGAACTTCTTCTTGGCAGTCCGTATATGGTTGGCAAATTTGGTCCCACTGGTATTGTTTAGTCTTTTGATGTCGTTTGGCCAATTCTAGCTTGAAGCGGAATCGCTTTGAATATTGACTTCTTGTAGCATACGTCTTTTATTTAGTACTTGTGGACTTCAGAAGGAGATGCAAAGCAGACAGTATGTCATTGACAGTTAATCTTGTTGATACAGAGGATGGTATGGGCTTAAGCTGACTTTTGGAGATTTTGGAGCCTTGGGCACATCAGCGGTTCAATAAGGAATGTCCTGTGTCCTGCTCTGGTTTTCAATCAGTCAGCTTTGAAAGTAGCTTCTGATCCCTCTTTCCACTCGACCTGCTCTGCACTCTGACAGACTGTCATGTGCGATCAGCGTTGGCTTGTTCACATGCCACTGGTTCAGAGTGAAGCGCAGCCCTCTCAAATCTGACTAAAGATCTGCCCAGCCTGGGAAAAATCAATGTGAGCTCCCATCAACTTTTGCAATGTTGTTTAAGGCTTTATTGTCCACTTCACAGTCTTTATACTTTCTTACTCTCTCTCTAAGTCTATCTGACTCTTTCTTTCTGCCTCTAACACTTTCTCTTTTTGTAGTCAGTCACTGGTGTTTGTGGTTGAGGGAGCTGAATGTTGATTCTACTGGTCCCTGTAAGCCTGGGCTGTAGAAAACACTAAATAATTCACCAGTGTGTGAACAGCCACATGAGAATTTGATAGGGACATTATCATAAAAACAGGCTGTCATATGCTGAACATACTGGACATTACATTATAAGTTCTGAATCTGAATGCAGTAGTATGTCAAAAGCTTTGGTAGTTTCTGTTCTTTCTGTCTGTTAGATATGAAATGCTATGGATGCTAATATTTCATGCAAAATTGAGATGTTATGTCGCTCCTATGTTTTGCAAAAGTCGATATGATTTCCACTGATAAAAAGCAGTTTTTGGATTGTTTAGAAGTTATGTTAGTATTTGAAGAAAAGGAGTGCAGATCTGTGTCATAGTACAGTATATTTGGCTCAGTTTCACCTTTATTTTCTTTCCACTTCAACTTTTTTAGCTTCATCAGTCATGCAGAAAATTACTTGCCTAAATATTTGAATACCTGGAGTTTCCAGGCTTGTTTTATGCTTGTTTGTGTCAAGATACAAATAATCAAGATTGCTTTCAAAAATTAAGTACCTAATATTAGCAAGATATTTAAATGCCTTATGAAAATGTAATCTTTCAGCAAACACCTCTATTAAAAAAAATACAATTTAAATGAAGAAAATACAATTAAATGGGGGAAAAACTCATAACTTTGGCCTCACATGACCAGGTAAATGATTATATAAAAATAATTATTCATAACAATTAATTATATATTGGTAAGGTCTGCACTTTGAATTTTGGGGGAAAAAACTTTTTTGTAATAAATAAACGTGTGTTATGATTCTGTGCAGGAGAGAGCCATTCTACACAGGAAGTGCAAAGAGAGCGGAATAGCAGCCTGAAGAAACAGATTGAGAATGAAATAAAGCAGCTGGAAGAGGAAATTACGGCCTGTAAGATGTTTTTTTTGTTAGAACTGTTATTTCATGATAAAATAAATCTGAAATCTGGATCATGGTTTAAAGTCATCCGCCTCTTTTTCTGCTCAGCTTTTTCCAGGACTGGTTTTGATCAGCACACATCCCCTGTGTTCAGTCCAGCCAATCCAGAGAGCTCCATAGAGGACAGTCTGGCAGTGCTGGGGGACCGCATCTCCCGGGACCTGGACATACACCTGTCCTCTGCCACTCACACGCTTCTGCGCAGGTCCTTTTAAAGGTCCAGGGAGAATTCCTGGACAATTTTAGTTGTTGGTAAAAAGCTCTTGCAACTAAAACGTTTTTGGCAGGGGTCTATGTCAGAAAAATGTATTGTGTAAACAGCCTGCACACCCTATTATAATAAGTTGGCTTGTAAATGGAGTTTAAATGACTATTCTGGACATTTGACTTAAATATTGACTGAAAGCTTTCAACATATATTATCTTGATGTTTTTCGGGACAACTAGCAAATTCAAATAAATGCAGAGAAATGTTCTGAACAGTGATTATATGAATGTGTCTCTTGTGCAGGGATTTGAGCTTTGAGCACTTCAGAGCAGCGGTGGAGGAGGTGTCCTCTCACGCCCAAGGAGGATGGAGCAAGGTCATTTAAAACACTCACCACATAAGTGGACACAAAGCACCCTCAAGGCCATTGGGCTGTTTTCACTGATGTGTGAATGTCTCTGTCTTTTTTCTCATTCTATTATTGTGTCTTTGTTTAGGTGTTGGTATCCTTAGTATTGTTACAGAACCTGCAGACTGAGGGGCAGCCGCTGGATTCTCTGCTACATTATGGTTTGCGTTATCTTGAGGAATCACAAGCAGACTTCATCATTATGCAGGGAGGATGGGTGAGTGACTTACATTTAATCGGTAATCTACTGTCTAGTTTGATCTAGATCATTTAAACAGTTGATTCTTAAGCCCGCACAATGACAAATGAACATCTCTCCAACTCGTTAGCAACTTACAAAATGTTTGATAGTCTAACTGGGTGTACCTTAACCCAAGGTTATTTTCGTAAACGAAAACTGAAACTAAGACTAAAACTATTGGTCAAAAAAACATTTTTGTAAACTGAAAAAAATGTAAAAATTCATAATAAATGAAAAACTAAAACGAAACGAAACTAACAACAGTTACTGAAAAACTAACTGAAATAAAATAATAATGAGCAAAAATAAATAATCGTTTTCGTAATTAATAAGCTCTTTACTTTGGCGGATAATCTGACCTGGCTGTTTAGGGAAATGCCTGGCGCTTCACCCGTGTGAAGTTGCTGAGGCGATTAACTGCGTGTCGTGACGTGCTCAATGAAGGACCGTAACGTAGAACACATCGGCTGTTCATAAAGGATGCGTTTGTGGCAGTGGAATGGGAAATAACACAAGGTAATGAGACGCAAATTGAACTTCTTTTAACTTGAGCGCAGCGTTTTTCGAATGCCGTTTGCAATGCGGGTGCAACAGCAAACAAGTCCGTCAAGCACAAAAAAACCTTTAATGTACTTCTGTATGTTTAGATATCATGTTTTCATTAACGTTGACAATGTAGGGATTCTAGGAAATACCAGGACACGACACACCAACAAGCACGCGCATACACACACACACACACACACACACACACACAGACAGAGACAGTCTGGTCCACTATATTTGTGGGGACTCTCCATAGACGTAATGTTTTTTTTATACTGTAAAACAGTATATTCTGTCTCCTTACACTAACCCGACCCATCATCACACACACACACTACACAGACCCCTAAACTTACCCATCTCACACACAACTTTCTCCATTTTTTACATTTAAAAAAAACCCCTCATTCTGTATGATTTATAAGCTTGTGTACCTATAGGTCCCAAAGTGACACGAGTCCCCATGCGTCTGTGTGCATTCAGGTTTAAGTCCCCACCAGGATATAAAGACATGTACAAAGTGCACACTCACACACTGCATAGATACTTATTATTTAATTTCACTGGCTTCACAGCAGGTTGTGTTGGCTGTAGTCAGATTTGAGCTGGTTTTTTTTTTTTGTTATGTTCCAGTGGCCACTCTGCTACATGTACAGCTGAAAAAAAGTAAACTATGTTTAACAAGATTTAATCTTTAATATGAATTAGTTTGTCTGAATTTTTCATATTTTTTTTCTTGTCTACTTTTAAGTTCTATTTATTTGGTGCTTTGTTCAATCTCAAACCATTATTTTATTTGTATTATTAAGATGTCTGCACAAGAGTTAACTGAATCTGGGCAAACATTAAACTTTGCTAAAATTAATCGTCTCGCTTTGGTCTACACTGGAAGTGTTCTGTTAGCTCTGCTAAACTATAATTACTAAAACTAAAACTGAAACTAAATAAAATAAAAACTAAATAGAAATGTGTTTGCAAAATAAAAACTAAACTAAAACTAACAATACCATTAATGAAACTAACTAAAACTAAACTTAAATTTAAAGCAAAATTGAAAACGATATTAAATAAAAACTAATTTAAAAAAGCAAAACTATAATAACCTTGCCTTAACCCTCTGGGGTCTAATGTGTTTTTGGGGTCCTTTAGATGTTTTGACATGTCCTGTCATTTGTGCTTTTTTCAGTTGCTTATAAACATATTAATGGCAAAGGTGTCATTACACTAGGGCTGCAACAAACGATTATTTTGATAATCGATTAATCTAACGATTATTAGAACGATTAATCGACTGATCGTCGATTATTTCACAGACTAATCAGTAAGTTTGGAACGATTATTCAGCTTTTCCAATCAGTTAAAACATTGAGTTATACATATTCTAACTATAATATAAAAAAATAAAATCACTTCAGCTTTTGAAATAGTTGTTTTAATGAACTTTGAGCCAACTAAACAGGTCATTCTCTTTAAGTTTTCAGATTTCGGTCCAACTCAAATCACACACAAATGCTCTCTAAGCATTGTTTAATAGGCCCACTGCTTTTCTTAGAACTGAAACAGAAAAAGGGACATTTACTTCAGGACACAAAGAATGGTAAAATATTAATCTGCAAACAATTATTATAAGAATAAAATTACAATCTTTTTTTACATGACAATTGAGCTGACAGAGATGTTCTCATTCACCTTTTAATTTATAGTATGATAAAGTAACTGCCATGATATTCTTCCTATATCATAGGAAGGATATAACATCTCGTTTTGTAAGTCTTCATGATTATTGAACAAAATACAGGCAAGTGATAAGACTATAATAATACCTAATATACTAATAATGTTACAATAATAAAAACAGCCCTGACTCCTAAGCTTGATCAAGCTTTATTCTATGCAAAATAAGTCATCACATTACTGTAATTATATTACTATTGATAATATTATTACTATTATTAGTAGTATTGCATTCTCTAATAAAGAGAGATTTACCGCTGGTTAGTAAGCTCCAGCTGGAGAACACTCACTTCTCACCGGCTCCTCTTTTGCCGGGATGTTTCCTCTTGCACTCCAACATGCATGTTGTGCTCCCGTGAAAAGCAAGTTCCGCCTTGCATGTATTGAACACGACAGCATTCTTGATTTGAAGTTTTGTGAAACTTTGCCAAACCTAAACCTTGCTAGTTCGGATTCGTTTGCACTGTCATAATTCGCGCTGTTTTCTCTTCTACCGCAATAGCATCTGTAAGGGCTGCACTACACTCTAGCGCTACAGCGCCGTAGCGGTCAAATCACGGGATTGCAGGCCCTTACATTAGGTCACGTGAGATCAAACGACTACTGACAACAAAGATATTTGTCGACAAATATTTATTGTCGACGTTGTCGACAACGTCGACTAATCGTTGCAGCCCTACATTACACTCTATTTAGCACAAACAGGGCTACCATAATATGTGAGCAACATACATGTTTGTATTTTTGATAGAATAATGTTTATGCATGGTTATTAAAAAAAAAGAAGAAAGTTTCTGAAATAAGGCCACAAAACACATACTAAATGTGTCCACAAGACTTTTGACTAATGGATGTTGTCGCCTAGAGTTATTGCTTCAAAATTATCTGAAAATCATCCTGCCTAATCATTCACATAAAACAATACATTGATTTAAATTTTGTAAGGCACTTTTTGTTTAGAAAGGCAATATGCGTGGGGGCGTGAATGATGAATTTGAATAATGATGTGATTCACACCTGAGAAGACAATGACCTGCATAATGACCTGCATAATGAGCCTTTCACTGAGAGGGTACCACAAGAAAGAATGCGAGGACAAAATAAATATATATATATATATATATATATATATATATAGTTATATATAGAAAAACAATTTTTTTTTTTTTTTTAATTTTAAGAAAAACAAACAACTGTTAACTTAATATATATATATATATATATATATATATATATATATATAAGTTAACAGTTGTTTGTTTTTAATCTTTTTTTTTATAAACAGAAACTGGGAAACACAAAAGGGAAAATCAAATAATAATTTTGTGATTTAGCATTTAATTCGATTATTTTAATAAATAATAGTACTATTAATAGTTATTAAAATTAATTTAAAATGTTAAGTCATCCTGCAGCCCCATTAGAAGTTTGCTGAGGCCTCCTAGTGAGTACCGGCTAGAGGGATTCTCGGCCCCTAAAATCTGTACCTGAACAGAGGGTAATTTTTTTTTCCCCGAAACCGACTGGACCACAATGTAAAAAGCAGCAATGTCTGCACAGCCTGTGGTGAGCGGGGACTTTTCAACCGGGTATGATACAGACCAAAATCAGAGACAACAAATAAGAAATATCACAGAACGTGTGGATTTAAAAGGATGCCCATTTTATTTGTATTAAACCTAAGGGTACTTAAATCAGACCCGACCCATGTTCAAAGCACTCGTCAAAGTTTTGAACCGGAACCTTCTCGGGTCGAACCTTGGTTTTTGTTTTTTAGATCCAAGACTACCTTTGAAGACCTCTAGTTCCGCCCCCTGGGCTGAGAACCACTGCCTGTAAGAGGTTAAGGTCAGTTTCCAAAGGCAAAACGGGTTTCTTCACAGAACTGTAATGGTTTTACAGAGTTTTTCAAGACTTCTGTCAGGAGAGGGAGCCAGAGCTGTGCATTTTTTCTTTTTTTTTACATATTACCCCCTTCAGCCGCTGGTGGATAATGCTAGCCTAATGCTAGCCATTGTGTGTTGACTGAGCAAAATTTTTACTTTTTGCTTTGCTCAAAGTATGCAGAACCCTTTGGATACAAAGGGCTTAGTGTTGGTTAAATGCGTTATGCTGCTGTGTGATGAGCAAGATAACTTTATTTCACGAGTTCACACTTACAAATAAGTCCGATAGAATAAATGGTATGCAAATTTGGCATGCTGTCCGAGGAGAGGGCTTCGGGCTCGGTATTTGGCCCGAACCCAGAGTACATGAACAAGCCAAGAGTGAGGTGTCGGGATGCTGAAAAACTGTCAAGGAATGTAGGTGAGTCGACTGAGTGCATATATAATATGTGCTTCTCCTCATGCTGATGGGATAGACATGATTGTTGATGACAAGTTAATTGGATTGATTATTTGAACGTGCTCCTCCCGAACTTTGTTTAATGAAACATCATTTAGTGTTTCAGCTACACTTTTACGTTCCTTTCTCCTTTATGGACAGTGTGATTAAGAGCATATTTGTTTAAGGCACAGTTCTTCGCTACCTCATATATAAGGCCATAATAAAGAATTCCTCTTTAACTTAATGTTTTGCATAATGTACACACTTATTCCCATTCAGCTTATCAAAAGGTATGTAATTTGTTAGTTCAAACTGAAGATTGTTCATTTCTGAAGGCTATCTTTCCCTCATGCAAATGTTTTATGAGA